TCAGTTTATAATAAACTTTTCTTGAGGTTATGTTTGACCTCAGGGAAGGTAAACAGTTGCAGGTACAACATGTCGATATTCGACACGGCGAAGAAGACCAAGCAACAACAACAGATCGTGCCATGATGATAACCGATGCTTTTCGTTCAAGGATGCCATGCCATGTTGAGTCACAGTACACTGGGAAATCACGGAGAGTTAGTATTATAGTACATTGAGATTACTAGCCGAGATACAGATATGATCAGCTATACAGACTACGTCGACGTCGCAGGTGCAATGTTCGCCAGGTGCTGCATACAGGCGTGCCGCACTCACTAGATGAGAAGCAGGTATGCCGCATTACAATGTGCTGCGAACAATGGGCCGCGTATCGAGTAGATGTTCACGAAAGGTAGTTACCAGGATTGCTAGTTACTCTCATTTGTACATGTGCGTATCTCTGAAATTTTCCAGGAGTACTAACGACTGGGAGTTACCACAACCGACGTTCAGACCGAAGAACAACCACCAGCCAAGAGATGAAGACCACTATGCTTAAGAATTATATTTTTAAAGTTAAGTATAATAAATGGAACACTTTATCTTATAAAAGTGTCCCGTTTCAGTCAGTGTTTATCATCAACTCACTTAATTGTGAATTTTTGATTTCTCAGTTAAAATCAAGTCCAATGTTCAGTATTTGATACTGAATTCTCAAGTCATGTCAGCAATGAGTATAAGCTTCATGTTAAGCTTGTACATTTCAGTTTTAGTATTTCCGAGGACGTAAATATTTTAAGGAGGGTGGATTGTTATACCCCGAGTTTTATTAATAAAGGATAATACTAGCTTTTAATTTTAAGTTAGCCTTTGTTAATAAATAGTCATGTTCATGTTCAAGTTCAAGTGATTCAGCCAGTTATATTCCAGGTTCGACTATTAGTCGATATGTTATTCGGTTGATAACCGAATGAGTTTTCAAATTCAATTCTGATTCATTTAATTGGTTAATGAGTTCGGAATTAAAAAGCCAAGTTGACGAATTATTCGAAATATTAATGTTCGGATTAATCGTCTAAGTCAAGAATATTCAAATTAAGTTCCGAGGTCAAGTTGTAACCGAAAACGAATAAATTCGGTTAAGGTTACCATATATGAACGTCGTCGTTCCTATACAGCGGAGCGTTCACATTGATACACCGTCCATCATTAATTAAGTAATGGTCATTAAACCTTGCTTAATGAACTTAATCCATGTTTAGCTAATTAATCATAATTAGCTTAAAGATAATCATGATTAGCTTAATGTTAATGAAGATTAATTAACATTAATGAGGATTAGTTTAGGAATAATCATGTTTAAGGTAATCATGTTTAGATTAGCCCTAAGCAAGCTTTAATAAGTCATGAGCATGTCATAAGTGTGGCATTAGCACATGGTGCTTAGCACGCGCGTAACACGCCCTTAGCACGCACTTAGCGCGCCTAAGCCGAGCTTAAGGGTCGTGAGTTAAGGCCTTCCACATTCTCACGTGCATTGCTATCATTATTGGGATACATGGAAGGTGGAGAGAGCCTTAGGGCATGACTAAGCCCTTGAGTTGGTGAGTAAGCACCAAAGGGCCACCTAAGGCCATCTTCACGCGGCAAATGGCACACGGCCATTGGCCGAGCTCTCCATCCCAACCTCATCACGTTTTTCCTTCATTATAAGTCAGGTATAGTTGATCATGATATATTATTTTATGATCATTCAAGCTTTAATGGTCGAGGAAAATTGAAGTTTGGCCGAGGATTGGCCTTAAGCCGATGGTAGCGCCCGTAGCGCACACCACGACACTTTA